GACGACAGCCCGCAAACATGCCTTGACCCAGACGTAGCAGCGCACCAGATTGACAATTACTTAAATTAAATTAACTTACCTACCCTTACCCCAGCAGGAGCCAACAAACTAATAACCCTAATGCCGGAAGAGACAAAATTTTCAAACAATTGTCACGGCCCGGACGGGTTTTCTTGGGACTCTATTACGAAATGTTTGCCCCCGCACTGATACCACAAGTATGCAACCTCTTCAACTCCCTCCTAGAAGAAACACTTCCACAAGACATGTTACAGGCAAACATATGTCTTCTCCCAAAATCTGATAAATCCCATCTAGAACTGGGTCACTATTGTCCCATCTCATTACTAAATGTTGATATCAAAATATTCACAAAACTGATGGCAGACCGACTTAACACTTTCCTCCCCAAACTCATACACCCAGACGAAGTGGGAGTCATTCCAACGAGACAGGCAAACAACAACACGAGACAGACTTCGAACCTCCTATGATATACAAACTTTCAACATATACCTACCCTATTCCTATCCTTAGACGTTGGAAAAGCCTTTGACAGACCTCTGTGGCCCTTCCTTTTCACTACCTTTATTAAATTCGGCTTCCCTAGACCTTTCCTGACCGCTCTACGAAGATTATACTCCTCACCCACAGCTAACCTACTCCTATACTTTTCACAACCCCCCTCCTTTCGCATCCTCAACAGAACTAGGCAGGGTTGCCCTCTCTCTCTTCGGTTTTGTTCGCCCTCTCCCTCGAACAGCTTCTCCAATCACTCCGGGCAAATGCTGAAATCACGGGCATAACAATCAGTGGAGAAGAGTTCAAGACTACAGCCTATGCCGATGACCTATTGCTAACAGTCACAGACCCTCTACACTGCCCGCACTGTTAACCGCACTAGAGGACTATGCAAAAGTCTCAGGTTAAAAGCAGAATGTAGACAAAACTGAGGTCTTACCCATCCACGTGGACCCAACCACTCTCGGTACCCTCCAGAGCCACTACAAGTACAAATTCCAACACACCGCAATTAAATACTAAGGCACGACTCTCCCTGGTGGCATTACACAAATGAACACACAAAACTATACTCCTTTACTACAAAAGGCCTTGCAAGACCTAACAACCTGGAACAGTATGCCAATATCCTGGCTAGGATGCCTAGCCTCAATTAAAATGAACCTCCTGCCGAGATTCCTATACCTCTCAAGCTCTCCCTGTTCTAATCTTGACATCTGACTTTAAAATGCTTCAAACGCAAATTGATAAATTCATTTGGGCTAATAAAAATGCTAGAATTAAACGTCAACACACATTACGTTCCCAATAGGGCGAGTGGACTAGGCCTACCAAATTTCAACCACTATTTCCATGCGGCCCAAATAGCTCAGACACAGAACTTCCATGCCTCATACAGCTTTAAATGATGAGTAGATCTGGAACACGTCATTTTCGGGAGGGACTTCCCATCTTTATACATATGGCTACTACAATAGGCGAGACCCCCACTCCCCTGGGGGTACGTAGAATTATTTTGGTAATGGGGCCACACAGGTTGGGAACCGGCCATCCGGCAGATGGGGCAAATGCCTGGTGAGCCGCAATGGCCGTGTGCCAGCAGGGGAGATCACAGGATCTCCCCTGCAAGCTCATGCAGAACCAGCACTATCCGAGCGCCGGCCCTGCTGTGTGTGACTTCATGGGCCGGTGAGGGAGATGATCAAAGAGCTCTCTCACTGGCCCAAAGGAGGCCAGGAGGCCTGCATAAAAGGGAGGGAGGATTCCTCCAGCGAGATCCTCGGAGCATTGCCGTGGGTTACCATGGCAATGCTCCGAGGACCTCGCAAGAGGACTGGACTCTGCCTGCAGCCAGAGGAGCACCAGGCAGATTAGTCTTACTCATCTCCACCGGATTAAAGGTAAGGAGAGCGGACATAAATGTTATTTATGTTTGTTCTTATTTTTTTTTTTATTTGTGTGTCAATGTCTCTGTATCTGTATGTGTGTCAGGGTATGTATATGTGTGTCTGTGTATCTGCATGTTTGTCTTTATATGTATCTGTATGTCAATGTGTGTGTCTCTGTGTATCTGCATTTGTGTGTGTGTATATGAGAAATCTCAATGTATCTTTCCTGGTAAAATATTTTATAAATAATAAATAAATATGCATGTGTGTCAGGGTGTGCATCTATGTGTCAGTGTATGTATCTGTGTCTTTGTGTCTGCATGTGTGTCAGGGTGTGTATATGTGTCAGGGTATGTATCTGTATGTGTATAAGGGTATGTATCTATGTGTCTGTGTATCTGCATGTGTGTCAGTGGATGTATCTCTGTGCATCTGCATGTGTGTCAAGAGTGTGTATATGTTTGTCAGTGTGTCAAGGTGTGTATCTGTATCTATATCTGTGCATCTGCATGTTTGTCTGTGTATCTGCATGTGTGTCAGAGTGTGTATCTGTTTGTCAGTGTATGTATCTATGTGTCTGTGTATCTGCATGCATGTCAGTGTTTCAGGGTGTGTATCTGTGTGTCAGAGTCTGCATCTGTATGTCTGTGTGGGTATCTGTGTCTGTATGTGTGTCAGTGTATGTATCTGTTTGTCAGTGTGTGTATCTGTGTGTGTCAGTTTCTGTATCTGTGTGTCTGTGTATGTATCTGTGTTTCACTGTATCTGCATATGTGTCAGGGTATGTACCTGTGTACCTGTATGTGTGTCAGTGTGTGTATCTGTGTGTCTGCATGTGTGTGTTTTATTTTGTTTGTATGTGTGTCAGTGTTTGTATCTGTGTAGCTGTATATTTTTGTGTGTCTGTGTATGTATGTCAGTGTTTTTATCTGTATGTTTGTGTATCATTGTGTCTGTACATCTGTACCTGCATGTGTGTCAGTGTTTGCAACAGTGTATCTGCAGGTGTGTGTATCTGTATCTATATGTGTGTCACTGTTTGAGAAATGGACGTACCCCCATCCTCCCTATAGAACCCCCATCCGCTATCCCCTCTTTATGCAACAATGTTGATGTGCACTAACTGTAAGCACAAACCTATGTTACAAAAAAAGTGTACTGTATTTGATTTTTCCCCATGGTGAAGCCTTTCTGTACCTCTTCCCCCTACCTAAAAAACCCAACAAAACCTTTTCAAATAAAGAATTTATTACAAAAAAAACTAGGATTTGTGGCACTTATTCCATTACTTGGAAAACACCTCAACGCTGACACTGACGCTCTTCCATTGGTCATTCTTTCTTTTATTGAAGAAGTCAGTAATATGATACAGAACAAAAAGTATTGCAAATTAATACATCACTAGAACATAGCATTCAAATTCAAGAAAGCGTATCAGTCTCTTTTTTTGTGATAATGAAAATAATAAACACAATAAGGAAGAAAATTAACAAACAAGCAATTGTGTGTAAACATAAGACATCTCTGTATGATGAATCTTGCTAGGTAAGCAGGCCACGTGGATTGGGTGCAAAGTGAACACGTTAAGACTTGGGACCCGCATCCACATATAGGCTAACAACTATGCTACCATGTCTGAAATTGTCTAACCATAGAGGTAAGTATGTGAGTGAATGCAATATAATGGTTAAAATATAGTACAAAGAGGTGGTTAACCACTTGGAAACACAGTATATTTATAAAACCCAAGAAAAGTTCCGCTCAATAACCCCTGAGAGCCTTGGGGCGGGGGAAGGCGGGAAATATGCCTCCACATTTGAGCTATCTAAGTTAAGTGAACAATAATAAACAATAATAAACATAAAATTAATTTAACAAAAGTCCAGAATAGTGCAAGGAACCAGGCATCCATTCTTTCTTCAGCCGGTATCGACGACAGAGCATTCTATGAGCAACTCGGCCCATCACCGTTGTCAGAGGATGAGGCGAGGCCTAGTTTCTGAAGGAAAGCTGCAGAGTCTTTCATGGAGGAAAGCTGGTAACTGCGGCCATCTTTGGTAGCTGTGTAGCTACGTGAGGGCCCCACTTGTAGGCAACTTCCGCTGATCATAGGATCTGCATTACCCACTGAAGGGACATTCTCCAGGTTGAGGTGGAGCGGCACAGGTCCTGCAGGAACTGGAGCTGCATTGCTTCACACTGAAAGGGTACTCTGTTGTTCACCACTTGCTGGACTGCCAACTTGTTCCGGAGCATTAGGAAGCACACCAGCACATAACGAGAGGCCCCAGTCGGCTCCCTGCTTGACTTGGGGAGCCAGAAACATCCATCAATTTGTATGTCTTTAGCAGAATACTGGGGCAGAAGAGTAGCTAGAAGGCGTCTTAGAAAATGCGGCAGTTTATGTTCATCTACAGTTTTAGCAATACCCCTAATTTTGAGGTTATTGTGTCTCAGTTCATCTTCCAAAATATCCGTTCTGACCTTGCATGGCTTTAAGGGCTGCCTGTAGTTGTTAAATCAGCTCCTTGTTGCCCGTCTGTTGTTGAGCTATGGAGGAGACATCATTCTCAGATGTCCTCGAATATAATATCTAGGTTGGCATTTCAAAATTAGGCCGTGGCTGTAGGAGGTTGCTGATGCTGCAGGAACCTTCCCCAGTGAGGGTTTTGAGCTTTTTAGCGTAAGAAAGGATAAAACCATGTTAACAGTCGAATGGGGGTCATATTGATATAGTTATTTGTTAAACTTTGTTTGCTAGCCAGCTGTCACTCACTTAACCCTTGAAATGCCAATGTTTTTTTTTATAAATTTAACTATTAGTCAACAACTAAATAGTTTGGATTTTTCAAAAACCGGTCCGACTATAACATTTGGATCCATATTTTAGCCAGGCTAAAATTAAATATTCAAAACAAACCTGTATGCTGATTTTAAAAATCCCGACATTGATAAATCTTATGAACAGTGTCTGTAATTGCAATCAGAATGTCTCCGGATGGTTTTTGAATACCTGTACTGGGGGCCTTCAGACTCTAGTTACTAACCATCATGTTTAGGTGTTGCACACTGTCGTAGGAAAAAGCCCAGCTAAGACTCCTTCATAGCAAGCTCAGACTCCCTCATAGCAAGCTCAGACTCCTTCATAGCAAGCTCAGACTCCTTCATAGCAAGCTCAGACACCCTCGTTGTAAGCTCAGACTCCTTCGTTGTAGGCTCAGACTCCCTTGTTTTAAGCTCAGACTCCCTCATTGTAAGCTCAGACTCCTTCATTGTAGGCTCAGACTCTCTCATTGTAAACTCAGACTCTCTCATTGTAAGCTCAGACACCCTCATTTCAAGCTCAGTCACCCTCATTGTAAGCTCAGACTCTTTTGTTGTAGGCTCAGACTCCCTTGTTGTAAGCTCAGGCTCTCTCATTGTAAGCTCAGACACCCTCGTTGTAAGCTCAGACTCCTTCGTTGTAGGTTCAGACTCTCTCATTGTAAGCTCAGACTCCCTCATTGTAAGCTCAGACACCCTCGTTGTAAGCTCAGACTCCTTCTTTGTAGGCTCAGACTCCCTTGTTGTAAGCTCAGACTCCCTCATTGTAAGCTCAGACTCCCTCGTTGTAAGGTCAGACTCCCTCTTAGTAAGCTCACACTCCCTCATTGTAAGCTCAGATTCCCTCTTAGTAAGCTCAGACTCCCTCATTGTAAGGTCAGTCTCCCTCTTAGTAAGCTCATATTCCCTCATTGTAAGCTCAGATTCCCTCTTAGTAAGGTCAGACTCCCTCTTAGTAAGCTCATACTCCCTCATTGTAAGCTCAGATTCCCTCTTAGTAAGGTCAGACTCCCTCATTGTAAGCTCAGACTCCCTCGTTGTAAGGTCAGACTCCCTCTTAGTAAGCTCATACTCCCTCATTGTAAGGTCACACTCCCTCACTGTAAACTCAGTCTCCGCCGTAGTAAGCTCAGACTCCCTCTCAGTAAGCTCAGACTCCCTCGCAGTAAGCTCAGAGTCCCTCATGGCAAGCTCAGACTCCATCCTAGTAAGCTTAGAATCCACAATAAGCTATGACGGAAGCTGTCAAAATTGTGCAAACTGCACAGTTATTGCAAAGAGGAGGAATTAAAGCTTGCTTCCTCAGTCTTGGAGCTGAAAAGACTTTTACAAACAAAATACAGTTATAAGCTACTGTGTTATGTTGGTTGCAGTGTGTAAATAAAGTTGTTTTTGTTCAGCAGAGTGATGTAATTTAATGACAATAAAAAAGGGGTGGACACAGTTAGCCTTCACCCTGCCCCTCTGTTCTGCCACCTTGTCGGTTCCCCAGGGAATCCAGCCAGAGAGGGGTCTCAAAGCCATCTTTTACTTTTAGCAACATAGTATCCACCCCCTAATGTCCAGCACCTGCAGCTTCCTAGCTTGCTGGTCAATAACACTGACTATGAAATGGCTGACACGGGAGCCATTATTTGAAGTGTGAAGTTGGAGAAGATTGTTCTGGAAACATTAAATGGGGGATTAAATAAATGGGGGATGTTGGACTTACTTAATAACCCACAGTATAGTCAAAATTGCGCAGATGCACCTCTATGATGCTGCAAATTATACTAGAAAAGCAGTGGTTGACCAAATTTTATTTTAGCCGTAATTAGCCTTAATTAAAGCAAGCTGCAGTGCTTTTGGTGTGTGGGGTGGCCCTTTAATTGGACTACATGTCTAGATTTGTCTCAGCTTTAAGTAATGAAAAATAGAAAATGAATTAAAGACAAGAATAAAACTTAAAATATAACATTAAAAAAGTTAACCCTATGTGTACTGTGCTTTTTTTATGTGTGGCTTTCCTGGATGCTACCAGAAGAACCACTGTCATTTCTCTCCAATTTCCATAAGCTATACATTAGATTCTGGCTACCACAAGGACTACCAGCTGAACAACACTGATCTAGAACAAACATTTGAATTTGCGCTTACAGGGTTTTTATTTTAGTGCCAATAACAACATTTCTGCAAATATACTCATAAATAAGTTGACTTAGAGTTGTTGGCAATACAGGCATAGTGTTGTCAATGACATCAGAGCACCTAAGCGTCGACTCCCATATTGTTGTGGAGACAGAGCAAGATTTTAGGCACAGGAAACATATTTAAAGGGGCACTCTAGGCACCCAGACCACTTCGGCTCATTGAAATAGTCTGGGTACTGTGTTCCTTTTGCACATAGTGCTGCAATGTAAAATATTGCAGTTACAGAGAACTGCAATGTTTACATTGCAGATCTAAGTCTGCCCTCAGTGGCTGTCTACCAGAGGCTGTCTACCAGTCCAAACTGACTTTTGGTCCATTATCTGATGCTAGACGTCCTCATGCTCCTCAAAGGAAAGCTTTGAATAATGCTTTCCTATGGGGAGGTGTCTAATGTGTCTGCGACATTTGACGCTCATGCGCATTAGACCCCACTTGTCGCGGGACGGAGGTGGGGTAGAGCTTCGACCCAGCTCCGAGGGACATCGGCGCTGGGATAAGGTTAGTAAATAAAGGGGTTTTAACCCTTTGTTTACAAGGTGGCGCAAGGGAGGGGGGAGGTAGAGGGATCGGTAGTGCCAGGAATACAGCTTTGTTTAAATTTAAAGGACTATGCAACAAAGTATATGCAAAAAAATATGTAAAATGAGCACCTAGTGATATTACAGTAGAATGTATTACTCTAATAATAATAATATTTTGTGAGTATAAAGTCAGATTGCAATTTTTATTGCAGCTGAGAAAGATATTTTAAAAACATTACATTTGTTTAGGTTTTTGTTTGCAAGATTTAAAGGGACACTCCAGGCACCCAGACCACTTCTGCCCATTGGAGTGGTCTGGGTGCCAACTCCCACTACCCTTAACCCTGCAAGTGTAATTATTGCATTTTTTATAAACTGCAATAATTACCTTGCAGGGTTAACACCACGTCTAGACAGCCACTAGAGGGCACTTCTGTGTCTATAGCACAGATTTTCTGTGCTAGAGCATCGCTGGACGTCCTCACGCTGTGTGAGGACCTCCGGCATCGCTCAATTCCCCATAGGAAAGCATTGAAAAGCATTCCTATGGGGAGCGCTAATGCGCATGCATGAAACATTTATTTTCTGTCCGAGTGAAAGCATCTTGGGTATTCGCTGATGTATACATCTTATTTAGACAGTACTGGATATTACATTCCAATGCCTGTTTTTTTGTTTGTTTGTTTTTTAAGAAATGTGCCCTCTGTTTGCAAACAAATACTATCAGTTTCTATAGTTGTTTTAGTAAATATTTCTTATACTGGACACTATAAATATATATAGATATGGGCAATATAAAAAAAAAAATAAAACCTGCATTTTCTCTGACAGCTTTTTCTGAGTGCAGTTAATCCAAATTCTGCAAATTTTCTATAGAACTAATTTAATTAGAACCCTTGGTCAAATTGTGTTGACAGAAACATCAGATCACGTAAGCTACCTGTCATGTTTTTCCTTATTACATTTCCAGGGGTGGGGCCTGACAGCTGATCTGGACGGTCGCATGGTGCTGGAGCTCATCAGGGGAATCGACTTACTGAGTGTCCAATTCAATGCAGTGGCGTCTCTAGGATTCATTTTTCGGGGGGGCACATGGAGGGCCAGTGACAAAAGTAGGGGGGCACATTTAACCCCGCCCTCGCCGCAGTTTGACCCCGCCCCTGTCACATGTTAAGCCACGCCCCCGACACAATGTGTTTTGTTTTTTTAATAATACCTGGTGGAGGAATCATGATTTTCCAACAGGGATTATTAAAAAAACAAACACATTACCCTTGATATAGTCCCATAGTTGCCAACACAGCTATCAATTACTGTCTGGGTATAATATCCCTGGACAGTCAGTGCTCTCTGTATAATACAGGGTTGTGTGTATAATAAATTGGGACACTCAGTGCTCCCTGTATAGTGCTGCTCTCTGTATAATCCCAAGACAGAGAGCAGCACTATACAGGAAGCACTGACTATCCCGGGATATTTTATACACACAGATCTGTATTATACAGATAGCCAGGGCTGCCATCAGAAATTTTGGGGCCCCTGACACAGCTCAAGGTCTGGGCCCCCCGGTGCCTGCACCCGAGTCCGTCCGTCCGTCCCCCCTCCTGAGTCCACCCACAGGGATGCAGTGTCTGCAGGGCCTGTGCAAGGATTTTTGCCTCCCTAGGCAAAAGTAAAGTTTGCCGCCCCCATGTGACATCACAATGCCCCACCCATATGATCTGCCATGTTAACTAACACAGTGCTGCCATGTTTACAATAAAAGGCCTGCAGGGACAGGCTATAGACACCAGAACCACTACGTTAAGCTGCAGTGGTTCTGGGGACTATAGTGTCCCTTTAATGTGAGGTAAATTAGAGATTAGTGCCACGAATAATAATATACTAGATTGCCTAATTACAACCAGATGAGGATGATGATGGGCTCTAGCTGCCGTCTGGCTCCACTGGTCTGGTGTAGAACAGGCTCTCTAGAGGCGGTTTGTAACTGTGGTCACAAAAATCAATGTTCTGGGAGAACGGGAAGCAGCTCCATTTTTTTGAGGGCCCTTTACACAGCTCAATGTCTGGGTCCCATGGTCCACCTTTATGTTTCACCAATGAGTTTGTTCACAGGGGTGTGTGTGTGGGGGGGGGGATGTCCTGATGTGTGTAAGGAATGCATTGTGTGAATCTGTGTTTGTATGGGATGCAAGGTGAGTTTGTGTATGTATGGGATGCAGTGTGTGCGTCTGTAAGGGATGCACTGAGTGTGTGTAAGGGGTGCATTGTGTGTTGCTGTGTGTAAGGGATGCATTGCTTGTGTATGTGTCTGTGTGTAATGTATTGTGTGTTTTTCTGTGTGCAAGGGGTGCATTGTGTGTGTGTGTGATGGATGTCAATCTCTCCCCCTACCCCCGTCAATTTCCTTCTCCCCCCCCTCCAACAAGAGGACATAGTCTTAAATTAGAGGGACAAAGGTTTAAAAATAATATCAGGAAGTATTACTTTACTGAGAGGGTAGTGGATGCATGGAATAGCCTTCCAGCTGAAGTGGTAGAGGTTAACACAGTAAAGGAGTTTAAGCATGCGTGGGATAGGCATAAGGCTATCCTAACTATAAGATAAGGCTAGGGACTAATGAAAGTATTTAGAAAATTGGGCAGACTAGATGGGCCGAATGGTTCTTATCTGCCGTCACATTCTATGTTTCTATGTTTCTATGTTTCAATTTCCTCCTTCTCCCCCTCCCTCTCATTGCGTTCTCCCCCCTCCAATTTCCTTCTTCTCCCCCTCCCTCTCATTTCCTTCTTCTCCCCCTCCCTCTCATTTCCTTCCTCTCCCCCCCTCAAATTTCCTTCCTCTCCCCCCTCCCTCAAATTTCCTTCCTCTCCCTCCCCC